AAAATTGAGAGCAAGGGTTTAGTTTGCTTGGATGTTGAAACTAGATGGAATTCAACATTTTTAATGCTAGATACTGCCGTGAAATTCGAAACAGCTTTTGACAGGTTGGGAGAGCAGGATTTTAAATATAGAGATGAGCTTTCAAGTTCAAAAATGAAGGGTCTACCTACCGACTTAGATTGGGAGCATGCTCGTGCTTTATTGCCATTTTTAAGAGCCTTTTATGATGCTACATTGAAGCTGTCCGGTTCTTCATATGTCACTAGCAATTATTATTTTCATGTTGTGTTTGGCATTGGAATGAGAATTAATGATAAGCTAAATGATTCAAACTCAAGCATAAAACTTATGGCTTCAAATATGAGGGAAAAATATCACAAGTATTGGGGGAATGTGAAAAATCTTAATCCATTCTTATTCATTTCTATGATTTTAGATCCTAGACATAAGATGGATTATGTAATCTTTGTGATTGAAGAAGTTTACGATGCTGAAAAATCTGAGCAGTTGAGTGAAATTGTAAAACAAACTTAAGTGAGTTGTTTGATCTTTAGTTTGTTAAGTGGTAATCCCAAGAGGAACCAAATGTTGCTTCTCAATCTAATGTCTCTAGGGTTGAAAATGATGAGATGCTTGATTTGTTTGTTATTCCAAGACCAAGTACAAAAGGAAGAGGGCTGAAAGTGTTTAGTGAAGGTAAATCTGAACTTGAAAGGTATTTGGAGGACAAAGTAGAACCTGATGTTAAGAAATTTGATTTGCTTGATTGGTGGAAGAACAAAAGTCAGACCTATCCCATAATTTCTGTAATGGCTCGAGATATATTGGCAATTCCTGTATCTACAGTGGCTTCAGAATCTGCTTTCAGCACTGGAGTCGTGTTCTTGACTCATTTCGGAGTTCTTTAACTCCAAAATTGTTGAGTGTCTCATTTGTGCACAAAATTGGCTGAGAGCATCACCTGTACAATCCAAAAAGAGGAACAAATTGAAGAAATGGAGAACATTGAGAGTGGTAAGTAATTATATAAACACTTGTAAAAATTTTCTGACTCATTTCTGTAAATATTACTTCTAAATATTGTTTTTGACTTTTAATAGGTTTCGAAGATTTAAGGCTAAATGAACAATGATGACCATGATGATTGATCGAAGATGGAACACTTACAAAGGTAATTTCTATGATTTAATTTTATAAAGCTTATGACATGATATATTTGAAATCAAACCATTGAAAGTTCTATGATTTAATGTATAAAGCTTATGACATGATAATATTTAAATATTGTTTATGTTTGTGATATTAAAATATTGTTTTAATAATATATTAAATTAGTTTAAATTTAAATATTTCAATTGAAATGTAATTCTGATTTAAATTTTGCATGATAATCTTCCGTATAATATAGATTGAAGGTTGGGTGATGAAGAGCTGACTCTAAAGTTAAACTTGAAGGCTGAAAAGTTTTCAGCATCTGCAAATGAAAAGCTAGAGGCTGCTGGTGTTCTATCATGAATGGATGATTATAGTTTCAAGCGATTAACTTTGATAGTTGAATTACACTTTGATTTGGTTGTTTAATTTGTTGTGTGAACCGAATTGCGAACAATATGTAGATTATAGTTTTTGTATGGATTATATATGTGGAATGTGGATCATCCATAGTAATGTGGATTATAGTTTTTGTTGGATTATACGTTTTACTAAGATTATATGTGGATTATGTTTTCAGCATCTGCAAAGTAATTTTTTTTTGAATTATAGGTTCGAGTGAAATTTTCATTGAAAATCAAACAGGCAATGATATTTTTCAAGTATGTCTAATAATGTATTCGGTTTATGGAAAACCGTTTTACCGAACCGAACCGAATCAAAAAACCGGTTTCGGTTTTTTCGGTTTTTTAACCATTCGGTTTCGGTTTAAATTTTGAAAAACCGTTTATTTCGGTTCGGTTCAATTTTTGGTAAAAAACCGAACCGAATACACCCCTAGTAGGGATAGATCCAAAATCTGGAGAACGCTTGCCCAGCTTCCCATCTCTCCTAAAGTGAAGATTTTCGGGTGGAGAATGTGTTATGATGCACTGCATACGGGAAAAAAAACTCGCTGTTGCTTCCATTGGAATAGCCACCTGCCTCATGTGCCAATTGTAAGATGAAACAACAATCCATGCCCTCAAAAACTGCCCCAAATCAAGGTCTATATTCACCCTTTCTGGGATGAACCATTCGATTGTTTGCATGCAAATAGATTCATGCAAAGAATGGCTCGAACACGCAAGCAACTTGCTGGACAGAGAGGGATTTGCTCGGATGGTAATTCTTTTTGGAACCTTTGAAATAGGAGGAATATTTGGGTCCATGATGGAGAGCTCCAAGCTTTCTGGGATGAACCATTCGATTGTTTGCATGCAAATAGATTCATGCAAAGAATGGCTCGAACACGCAAGCAACTTGCTGGACAGAGAGGGATTTGCTCGGATGGTAATTCTTCTTTGGAACCTTTGAAATAGGAGGAATATTTGGGTCCATGATGGAGAGCTCCAAGCCGATCGTGAAGTTGTGTGCAAAACGTGGGAGATGGTAGCAAGCTTCACAGTAGTGACAGAGTTTTCAAACCACTATAATCTGAACCATCGACCACCTGTTAAAGCTCAGTGGTGTCTCCCAGAGATAGGCAGGATCAAAATTAACGTGAATGGAGCTTTCATTGACAACACATGAGAGGCAGCGCTAGGTTTTGTTGCTCAAGACCACCACAGAATGATGATTGGAGGACATGCTCGTAAACTGGACTCTCTCCAAACAGCTGAATCAGCTGAAGCGTTAGCCTTCGTCCATGCCGTTAGATTTGCAATCGAAAATGAATGGGATCAAGTCACCATCGAAGGAGACGCAATAGGGATAGTTAACCGATTGAATAATCGCAGTGAAGAATTTCAGTGGTTGGCATGCTTCAAAATGAGGTTCACGAAGGGCTGGCAGCACATCCAAATTTCTAGTTTTGATATACTCCTCGCAATGCTAACAGAGTGGCGCATATGCTAGCTTCTAGGGCTATATCGATGCCAAACCAATTATGGTTATTTTTCGATGAACCTGAGTGTATTAAGAATCTTGTAATTTTGGATGCAATTGGTATATGAATGAAATCATGAATCTTTCAAAAAAGAAGAAGAAGATATATTTAAGAATCTCAATATTCATGGTTAAGTTATTATTTTGGTAATTCATTCGTTATAAATGATTAATTAATTTTGACTTAAAATTCAATACTAAATTTTTTTTGTTAAAGATAGGTAGCTAATATTTTCCCCGTTACATTTTTAAGTGCCAACCGTTAAAAAAATAATTAATGACAAGTGTCAAGTTTATTTTTTTAAATATTTGTAAATAATATTTTATTTTTAAAAAAATTCAAAAAATATAAACATGATACGTGTCACTTAACAACTTTTTGAACGGTAAACACCTAAAAGTGTAACATAGAAAACGTTAGACACTTAGAGTCTGTTTGATAGACTGTAATTGGTTTTATGGAAAATAATTTATGTAAAATGAATTACCTGAAAATTGTTTTACGTAGAATGAATTACATGAAAATTGTTTTACGTAAAATAAATTGCATTTTCTGAAAAAAATTTCGAAAACTATTTTATGGTATTATGATGATATTGTGTAAATCATTTTCACTAATTGTTTGATACACTATAATTAATTTTATAGAAAATTATTTACATAAATTGAATAAAGTTCGATTCAGTTAATATTAAAAAAATTGTAAATTGAATAAAGTTTGATTTAGTTAATATTAAAAAGTGTTTGATTAACGATTAAATAAAAAAAGTTAGTCTAATTCAGTTAATGGTAATTCGGTTCTATCGGTGATCGAAATTAACCGTTTGAACACTCCTAATTTTAATTATTAGTTTAATAACATAATACTAAATTATTATATTAATATTAAATGTATAAATTAATATTATTCATTATTAATAATTAAATAATATTATATTTTAAAAAAATAATAGATAATATTAATCATATTAATAATTTGTTATACATTATTAAATTAAAATAAAATATAATATATTATTATAATATAACTTAGTACATATTAATGTAATATTATTAAAATTATACTATATATTAAATATTTAAAAATTAATATTCTCATTAAAATGATATTAAAACATTATATTAATATTAAATAAATAAAATAATATTTTCGGAGTGATTTATATTTTTAAAGTGAAAAATTTGTAAATTGTTTTACCAAAAATCAGATGTTAACACATTTTACAGAAAAATACGAAGGAACTAGGAAAATAAATTACATTAGAAAAACTAATTACAACTAGCAAACACTGAAAAATATTTTACGAAAAATATTTTATAGCTATAAAATTAAGGAAAACGTTTTTCAAAAAATATTTTTCAACTATCAAGCATAGGAAAACGAGGAAACATTTTACAAAAAAAAATATAATTAAACACTAAAAGTTAATTTTAACTATAGTTTAGGAGCTTATTTTTGCATTAAATCATTAATTTTAATTGTTTTCTTGTCATAAATTATTAATTTTTGTTTCATAAATTATAATTAAATAAATTATGTACTTTAATACTTAAATTATCAATTTTATTCCGTTTTGATACCTAAATTTTTAAAATTTTTTTTGAAACCAGAGAGTTTTTATTTTATTTTAGTCAAAATTCGAATAATTTTAAATGTAAAATAAACTGAATTTAAAAATAAAGTTTTAATAAATAAATAAATAGAATCAAAAGTTTTAATACATTAAAAAGATAAAATGGAAAATGGATAAAGGGAACAGTTGGATTCAAAGCGTGAAAGAGAGAAAGCTGAAAGTGGGGACCACTATGTGTTTGAATGGTCAAAAAAGAAGACCCTACTTACTGTTGAAAACCGCGAAAGAAGAAAACGATGACTGTTCACCACCAAAAAAAAAAAAAAAAAAAAAGAAGAAGAAAAAACCATCGAAGCTCTCAAAGCCACACCTTCTCTCTTTTTTATTTTCTCCTCTGGAAAACAAATCTTCGTTCCGACAATCATTCACCGTCAAAGGTCAGCTTTCAGATCCGGAATCCGTGCCCGTATCTTCCTTCTCATGATTCCGCCTAGCGTGCCTGTTGTTTTCGCCCCGATTTCTTGACCCGGCCGGTAATTATTTTCATCCACGCTCTCTGTTTTTGAATCTAATGTTTGCCGCGTTTGGCTGTTAGATCGTTTTTCTCCCGTTATTTTTGTTTAATTTTTGCTTCATCTTAGATCCTTGTTTCCTTCTAGGGCTGCATATATATATATATATATATATATATATATATATATATATATATATATATATATATATATATATATTATCATTTTTATTCACGAGGAATTAAGAGAAAGGAAATACCTATTAGTCGGTTCATTTCACGTGTAAAATAACCTATAATGAGCTCAACACGCTAAAGTTTATGCACTAAAGAAGAACGACGCTCTATGCTTTATATAATTTTATGCAATATTAGCAGTCAAAATATGTACGCGTGTGTAAAAATAATATTAATTTTCTTCTTCAAAGGATTAGAGATTTGATTTAAAATGTTAGTTGAATGATTTATTGCCGATTTATGTTTGGATGAGCCATTGACATTTATTTAACGTGTTTTACAGGTAACTACTCTTTGGGTTTTATTTTGAGTGATTTAAAGAGCTTAATATTCGAGAGAAGATCTTGAGATTCTCGTTTATTGCTTTTAGTTTAGTCCGATGGCTTCTATAGGTATGGTGCCTGCTTCTGGATTAAGAGAATCTAGTGGAAATGCAGTTGGTGTTGATAGATTACCCGATGAAATGAATGATGTGAAAATTAGGGATGACAAGGTATGTTGATTTGTTTTCGGACTCCGCTTCGTTTTAATTTGATAATTGGTTACTGGTCTTTCAGATCGTTTTTTTAAAAGTTATTACTATGTTGCAGGAAGCGGAGGCAACTATAGTTGATGGTAATGGAACTGAGACAGGGCATATCATTGTTACCACTATTGGGGGTAAAAATGGCCAGCCCAAGCAGGTAATTTTCTCCTCTGAACTAGAGTTTATTGGTTCGGTTTTTCAGATGTTTGATGATTTTGTAACCTAACCTTTCTTTCATTTTCAGACAATAAGCTATATGGCCGAGCGAGTAGTTGGGCATGGATCATTTGGGGTAGTGTTTCAGGTACACATGATTTCATCTTTTTCATACTTCACTTGAAGATATGTTCAAATTTCATTTTTTTAAGTTGAGTTTTAAGGTTTTGTAATGAATTGTCTGTGTTGTGTCTCAGGCTAAATGTTTAGAGACAGGCGAAACTGTCGCTATTAAGAAGGTTCTTCAAGACAAAAGATACAAGAACCGTGAATTGCAAACCATGCGTCTGCTAGACCACCCTACTGTTGTCTCTCTGAAGCATTGTTTCTTTTCAACAACTGAAAAAGATGAGCTCTATCTTAATCTGGTGCTTGAGTATGTTCCTGAGACTGTTCACCGTGTTATCAAACATTATAATAAGATGAGCCAAAGGATGCCACTGATATATGTTAAACTCTACTTTTACCAGGTATCAACTTTGTTAAGATATTTACTTTTGCTATCTTAGAAACATCTTTTATATCTATATGGAAACAAGAATCCATGATGCCATAATGTGCAACCCTTAATGAAATTGGTAATATTTTTGTTTTTCTGCAGATTTGCAGAGCACTTGCATACATTCATAATAGTATTGGTGTGTGCCACAGGGACATAAAGCCTCAAAATTTATTGGTATATTTTTAAGCAACTCAATATATGCTTTCTGTTTGGTGATTAGTAAAGCTATATCAGTTTTAAAATATTTAATGATTGTGGACAAACATCGTCTGGAATTGGTTTGGTGCTTCAATAATTTTGAAAGGATAATTGATTTTTGCAAGGGAAGAAACAATCCAACATTCTGGGAAATATATGCATGCTAATTTATCGTTGCTTGCAATCTCAAATTTTAAACAGAATGGGCTTGTAATAAATTCACTCAAAGATATTGCCACAATTCTTTCCTTTGTTGCAAAGTTGCAACATCTTGTTATTTATTTTGGGGAATAACTTAGTTTACATCTTATTTGTTATTTACTATAGAAGGTTGGGTTTATTTATCATTGTGTACATTTACACTGAAAAAATATACCAATACAATGATCCCCTTTCAGGTCAACCCACACACCCACCAGCTAAAACTCTGTGATTTTGGAAGTGCGAAAGTTTTGGTATGTACAATAGATTTTCTTATTTGCTTCTTTTGTAGATACCTAGTTGTTCATGAGCCTAATTTTGATTTAATTTGGCCAGGTAAAAGGGGAACCAAACATATCTTACATCTGTTCTCGATACTATCGAGCGCCTGAATTAATATTTGGTGCAACTGAGTACACTACAGCCATTGACATCTGGTCTGCTGGCTGTGTTTTGGCTGAGTTATTGCTTGGGCAGGTAGATGTTTCCTTGCATATATTTATACTTTATGTGCATGTATTTTTCCTTTATACTATCACTCAACAAGTATTATTTTTGTGGCTACAGCCTCTGTTTCCTGGTGAGAGTGGAGTAGACCAGCTTGTTGAAATTATTAAGGTATATTTCTGTTCAAAATTCTAATCAATAATAGTTTTATCATGATGGTATTGGAAAAATTGTTCGGGAAACATGATGGATGGAAGCTATGAACCTATCCAAGCTTGTAAATAACCGGTGGCATCATTGGCACTGGATTTCTGATTTATTCTATATCTGTGGTTTTTTTATACAGGTTCTAGGTACTCCGACAAGAGAAGAAATAAAGTGTATGAATCCGAACTACACAGAATTCAAATTTCCCCAAATTAAAGCTCACCCATGGCACAAGGTAGTGGATATTGCATGTCATTTCGGTACTTTTTGTTGGAAAAATACATATATGGTATTTGATCAATGTATCATTGGTATGCAGATATTTCATAAGCGTATGCCTCCCGAAGCTGTGGATCTTGTTTCACGTCTATTGCAGTACTCTCCAAATCTTCGTAGTACAGCTGTAAGAATCGACCTTTTACGCCTATGTTATTGGTTTTTTCTGTTCATTATGCAGACTCTTTCCTCGTTCTAATAAAACAAACTATTATTCAATTATGAGCATTTCTATTTGTCAACGTACTGTCTTAAGGGTGTTTTTACTTTCTGTACAGGTCGAGGCTTTGGTCCATGCTTTCTTCGACGAGTTACGTGATCCAAACACTCTCCTGCCTAATGGCCGATTTCTTCCTCCATTGTTCAATTTTAAGCCTCATGGTAAAAACCCAGATGATACATCACATGTTTTCTCTACCCTTTTTACCAATTTCTTATTGAACTGTGGAACCGATGATGATCTTTGCTGTATTTTTAGAACTGAAAGGAGTGCCTGCGGATATGGTAGCGAAACTGATCCCGGAGCATGCGAGAAAGCAATGTGCCTTCCTTGGATTATGATGGGATTCCTTTCTTATCTTAGTGTCTGCATCTTGCAGAAATCTTGGGCTATTGTAGAGATAAGTAGGAGTGTTAGTTATCTTCGTCACCCCTCCATGTTCATTTGTTCCCTTTATTATTTTGTTTTTTAATCAATCTCTCATGTTATTTTCTCTCTCTACCCCCATCCTTTTGTAGAAAGCAAAACTGGGGGAGTATCTAATATCTTGCAATGACTATGCGTATGACAGATTGTAACAACATATTGTTGGTTTCAATGTAATTTCCTTTCAGTGTAATTTAATTGATAGGTATTCGATTACTAATTTCACCCATGGACGACGATGTTATATGTTCAATCTTGACTAATCTATCTTGGAAAAGGATGTCATGTCAACCTAAAGCTGACTCATTACCTTTTTTTTTTTTACAAAATTCTTCTTGAAACTTTTTTTTGATTAATCTCATAAAATGGGGTGATATTAGATTGAAATCTGTCGATTCTAATTCATTTTACCATGTGTATACTTCCTTCGTAAAACACACTTTTGACCCTTTTAGATCAAAATATGATCGGTCAAAATTAAATCTATTGTTGTTCATACATAGAGATGCACATAGCCGGATTTAAATCCGATTCGGATCGGATAAAAATCGATCCGGTTTTTTCACTAAGTCAAAAAATCGGTTTATAAAAAATCCGGTTCGGATCATAACGGTTTGGAGGGCTAGATGATGTAACCGGTGTAACCGGTTTCGGTTTGAAAAAAACCGTTTTTTTTTAAAACCGGTTTTTAATCCGGTCATCCAATTTTTTAAACCTCAGACCGGATTTTTTCCGGATAAAAAATCAGTTTTTTATCCGATTTTTTCAAACCGTTTTTAATCCGGTAAAAAATTCGGTCGTCCAATTTTTTCCCAAACCGGTTATACTATCCGGTTTTAAAATATCCGATCCGATTTAATAAAAACCGGTTTTCCCAAATCTAGTTTCGGATATTTTTTACGTAAAATCGGATATTCGGATATTTTGTGCACATGTATTCATACCTATGTCTCGTAAAATTATAACAAGTTTTCATCAAATACTAGCCCTCAAGGTCCACGTATAAATCTTATGTAAGACTGAAAGTCTTGACTCTCATCTCTCTCTCATATATATAAGAATTGACTATTATTCATTATTTCTTTATCATCTTTCCCATTTTTATAGAATCACTGGTTATAATTCTTCGTTCAAACAAAAGAAAATAATCTGTTGTCATCACAACTAATATTTTCCATAAACACCATCCAGATTTTGGTATCGTTTTACGAACCAAGTGTTTAGAGGTTTTGGGTTTGAATATTAGGAATGTTAGATGTGTGAGTGTTCAATGTTAAATAATTGAAAACTATTTTTAAACATATATTGTCTTGTACTTACCCATATTAATAAAAAAATTAGTACCGTTAAAAAAATGTTTAACAGTAATACAAGTGATTGCATTCATAATTAATCATGTTACATCCGCATATAACTTGTTAACTAACTAATTGAATTAACTAATTGAACTGTAATGCATGTGGTCCATTTCAACATAAAAAAATAACAGAGCATCTTCTTCACATTTCTGATTAGCTTCGTAAATCAGCACGTAATAATAAACTAAACCAATTTGTTTCTTCTTCTTTAATCTCCTTAATCATATAGAGACGGTGTCAGTTCAATAAAATAGAAACGCACAATGCATGGATAAAGGTACTTTTGGAGAGAGTGGGTGGTTGCTCTCCTCTCAAACTAGTGGCCCACCGCCCCCGAAACACCGCTTCCACTCCTAAAGTCCGTCTTTGCTCAAAACTGTAATATTTTATATAGGATAAGATTAATTAATGAGAAAATAATCTCAGTGACCAAAAATGCCTTATAATATACGATTTTAACCAATTTTTTTTGGATTTGACAAAATGACCAACTAAATCGTAATGCGATCGATAATTCGCAACGCGATCTCCGGTATCGCAAATCCGTTTCCAGATTCGCAACGCGATTCTGACTATCGCATTGCGATTTCCCAAATTCGCGTTGCGATTTTCCTAAATCGCAATGCGATTACGTAAATCGCAATGCGAAGTAGGAAAATCGCAATGCGATTACGTATTCGCATTGCGATTTTCCTACTTCGCATTGCGATTTTCCTAATTCGCATTGCGATTTACGTAATCGCATTGTGATTTAGTAAATCGCAACGAGATTCTGACTATCGCAATACTAAATTTCAAATTCGCAACTCGATTTCTGAATTCGCAACAGGTTTTAATTTCGCAACACAAATGTTTTGGGTATATAACTAAGCAGCAGCAGCAACTAATAACCTAAATCCCTAAATCGTAACTCATTTCATCTCCATCTATCACTCTCTCTGGCGACATCCGTTCCTATATCCAACGACATCCTTCCCCATCCGGCAACAGGTTTTAGTTTCGCAGCTCGTTTGTTTAGTAAATTAATTTACAATAATGAAATCATCTAATGTTGATCATGTTTGGATAGATTTGTGTTTTGGAGGGTCATGAGAGAATGTTCATGGTGTTTTACAATATATGCCTTTACCTATGAATCTTCAACTAAAACTGTCATTAAAAAGTTAACTTATAAAACTCTAATGTTACGTGTTGCAAATAAATTGAATTTAGAGCCCCTAAGTGGATTTAGGCTATCTTATCAGAGAAATGGTAAAGTTTATTTGTTAACCGACAATGAAGATGTTGAACGATTCATTGCTTACATTAGTGTTTCAGTGATGATGTTACATTGTATGTTGTTGAACCTAGAAGTAGTGAAGTTGGGTCAGTAGCGGGTAGTAATCAACTAAGTTTTTCAATCCCAGTTTATGGTGCTCAAAATTTAATGGTTCCACCACAATTTCATCACCAAGCAAATATTGTTTCACCACATTTCCAATACCAAACACATCTCAAACCCACAACCTTTCCCTAATCCAAATCCCAATAAACTTTCAGCACCAAATTCCGATTTCGTATTGACCAGTTAGACGATGATGAGCCAACAAAAAATATTGAGTACTAGTCAGTATTCGAAATTTGATCTTGGTCAATACCCGGACTTGATCTTGGTCATACTCGGATTTTGATGATTTTTCAGAAGAAGAAACAGACCCTGCGTGTAATGATTTGATATTGGTCAATACCCGAATTTTGATGATGAAACAGATGTTGCCGAGGAAGATGTTGATGATAATGAGGAGGAAGTTACGACTGTAAATGAACATGTTGAACATCCATTCTGTAATTCATATAACTGAAGAAGAAAAAGAAGAAGAAGAAATCCCCAAAGAAAAGTCCCCGAAGAAAATGCCACGGGAGTATAACTGGAATATGCCAGAATTACTTCAGATACCAGAAGAAGAGTTGGTAAAGATAGCAGTTGATTGTTACACAAAAATTATTCGTATCAAGAAAGATGATTGTTTTGATACAAAGGAAGACTTGAAGATAGCTTTGTATACGAAATGTGGAAGATGGCTATCAACTAAAAGTTAACAAATCAAGCAAAGATCGTTTCGAAACAGGTGTATGATTGACAAAAACTGTATGTGGCGTATGATTGCAAAGAGGATAAAAGATTGCGAAATGTTTCAAGTTAGGACTTTTATTGATAAACATACATGTTCAAGAACCCAAGTTTTTCCTCACCATAGACAGGCAAACAAAAAGGTGTTGGATGGTTTTCTGGCTGAGTTAATGTTTTTGAATGGTAGGGTATATCGGGGACATGAAATTATGACTGACATGAATGCTCGGTTCAAGATTAGTATCTCATATTCTCAAGCTTGGAGAGCCAAATGTTATGCCTTGGAATTGTTGAGGGGGTCTCCAGAAGCATCGTTTGCCCAACTGCCGGCTTATTGTCACAATTTAAAGCTGAAAAATCCTGGGTCGGTAACTCATATCAAAACAGATAGAGATGGACGCTTTGAGTTGCTGTTTATCGCCATTGGTGCTGCGGTTAGTAAATCAATATAATTTTGTTGACTCATTTTTGTTAGTTACATGCATTTCACATTTAAATGATTATATTTCTTGTGTATATGATTTTGTAGATTCGTTCGTTTATTAATTGCATGCGCCCAGTTATTATAGTTGACGGAGCACATTTAAAAGGTCGATACCTTGGAGTAAACTTATGAGCAGTAGCCATGGATGCTAACAATGGGATACTGCCAATAGCTTACGGGGTTGGTAAATTTGAAACCTCTGATTCATGGACATGGTTTATGGGGCATCTTAGAGATTGCATAGGTCCTATTAGCAATCTGACAATCATATCCGATAGGGCAAACTCAATTGACAACGCTGTTAGAAGGTGTTTCCCAGATGCTTTTCATGGACTTTGTGGTGTTCATTTGTATAGAAATCTAAAATCAAGGTCTGTTGGTATAAAAAATCACAAATGGACATACTGGAAGGCTGTAAAAGCTTATCGGGAAGTGGATTTTAATAAGCATATAAACTGTTTAAGACGTGTTTTGCCTCAGTGTGCTCAAACACTAGAAGATGTCGGGTTTGAAAGATGGTCAAAAGTACATCAACTTGGAGCAAGATATGGTTTCATGATGTCTAATAGTGCAGAATCAATCAACGCTCTAAGTCGTCATTCCCGGAAATTACCCATTACTATGTTAATGGAGTTTTTTCGAGCCTCTATTCAACAGTGGTACTACAAGAAAAGAAACCATGCATGTATTATTTCTTTAAATTCGTAACTTATCATATATTTTACTAAGTATTATTATTTAAATTTACAGGAACATTGGAACATCGTGTTACACCATGGACAGAAAAAAAGATAACGAAACGTGTTGTGAAGTCAACGACATGGAGAGTTGAACCATGTTCAAACACTTTGTTTGAAGTACTGGATAATAACTTAAATGAGCTTGTCGATCTAAATGCAAAGACGTGTAGTTGTATGAAATGGCAAACATCTGGTTATCCGTGTGGCCATGTTATAAAAGTTTCTCTTCATCTAAACCAAGATGATTCAAGCGCATACGGTATGGATTGCTACACTACAGAAGTATATCGACAGACTTATGGCGAGATTGTCTACCCTATTCCACATCCTTCTGAGTGGGACATACCAGATGACTTACAAACAGTTTTGCCACCAGCCATGGACAGAAGGCTACCTGGCCGACCAAAAAGTCACGATCGTATACCGTCTAAGGGTGAAGAGAAGAAGAGATCGACATGTAGTCGGTGTAAGGAAAGTGGTCATACAAGGTTGACATGTGGATCACCAGTGCCATCACAATCATCTTTT